CCCCCCGGCAGCGCTCGCCCCGTGCGGCAGCAAAGGGTGCATGTGTAACCGGGGCTGCCTGGCACCGATCAGCTGAGAGGCTGGCAAAGAAGCGGCTCTCGGAGGAAGAAGGCAGGGATGCTGGCTGGCATTCGCTTCCCTTCCTGTTTGCCGCCACCCACGCCCTCTCCCTACTGCCTGCAACCCAGGCCCCACCTACACTGTAGGCTCTCCTGCTTGGAAGGGGGTTGGACTAGATGGCCTCCAAGATCTCTTCCAACTCTGCTAATCTATTATTCCAGACGAGTTCTCAGCCCTGCATTAGCACAACACCCCCACCCCCACCCCAAACCATGGTTTAGCCAACACTCCCACCATTGGATTTGCACAAGATGTAAGCCTAGAGAATCCAGGGTGGTGTGGCCGTCAACCAGGATGCAGGTAGTCCTGGACTTATGACAGTTCATTTAGTGACCATTCGGAGTTAGGGGCGTTTTTCACACTTACGACTGTGGTCATGTAATCAAAATTCATTTTTGTGAATCATTTAACAACCACATTGATAATTTAACTGGTGATTCACTTAACAATCCTGTTACTAATTTAAAAACTGCAGCGATTCACTTAACAAGCATGTAACTAATTTAAAAACTGCAGCGATTCACTTAACAACCACATTGCTAATTTAAAAACTGCAAGGATTCACTTTCTTTCGCCCGCCTGTGTCCACGGCAGCCCGCCAGCACAGGCGGTCGAAAGAAAGCGCTTTATACAGTGGACTGCCTCACCAGCCATAAACCTCACTGCACGTCTCACTGGTAAGGAAAGGTCCCTAAAATGTATAAGGAAATATTGCTAGATCATTATTGGTGCGTAGATAACTGCGGGACATTACACACACACACACACACACACACAAACTCTGACAGTGCCAGGAAAACACCAAAAAAATAAGAAACCCCCCCCCCCAAAGACTGCAAATGAAACCAGTTTTTTTTTTCCCTAAGCCTAAGAACAGGAAAGACAAAGCCACTGGAATAAGAACCATCAAGGCATTGTGGGGGGAAATAAAGAACTGTGCCAGGAAGCTCACAAAACCATCAACCACCTCAGAATTTCCTAAACAACGAGGGTGAAACAGACTAAATCTGGCAAAGCTGCCTTGCAGGAAACCTGGCCTGCCCATAGAAAAGCAGCCACTTTGAGACACATAAACCTGGTCTGCAACATATTGCATCAGAAGGAAAACATTTGCAAAAAGGAATAACATAACTTGTAGTAAATATATTTTATAAACAATTAAAAAATAAAAATTCCCCAAAAAATAATTAAAAAAGATATTCTATAAATAAAAGAAATCCTTAAAAACCATGGTTAAGTATTCCACCAGCAATAATTTATAATGTAACTATTTTAAGGTATTGTCCCAGCCATAGTATACAGTAACCATTATTCTACCAGCAATAATTTATAATGTACCTATTTTAAGGTATTGTCCCAGCCATAGTATACTGTAACCATTATTCCACCAGCAATAATTTATACTGTAACTATTTTAAGGTATTGTCCCAGCCATAGTATACTGTAACCATTATTCCACCAGCAATAATTTATACTGTAACTATTTTAAGGTATTGTACCAGCCATAGTATACTGTAACCATTATTCCACCAGCAATAATTTATAC